GGAAGGAAATATATCCTTGGTTGTGGGGTCAGATTGCAGGTGGCGGAAGTGGCGGAGAATGATACGTTGAATGCGGACATTAGTTGGGTGATACGTGAGGATAAGGGGGATTCTGTCTTTGTTTTTGTTGCGGGGAGGGGATGGGAGGGCAGAGGTGCGGGAAACGCAAGAGATGCGGTCGAGAGCATTTTCGACCACTGAAGCAGGGGGGGATGTTGCGGTCCTTGAAATAAGAGGATATCTGGGATGTTCGGGAGTGGAACGCCTCATCTTGGGAGCAGACGTGGCGGAGGCAGAGGAATTGGGAGTAGGGGATCGCATTCTTGCAGGACTACACCTAGACTATACCTCCTGTCACCCACCTTCCTGCAAGAATCCCATTAGCAATAGGACAATGAAACAGAACATGTGTTTGTCATGCAAGTTTAGATATAAATACTGACCAGGACACCAATGACATCTTCCCCATCATTCATTGAAAAAGTGCCATGAGATCTTTTACATCCACCAAAAGAGGGCAAGACAGGACCTCAGCTTCATTTTCGAAAGACATCATCCAATAGTGCAGCACTCTTTTGGTACTGCACTAAAATGTCAGCCTTGATTGTGTTTAAATTCTAGAATCAGACTTGAACCCACAATGTTTTCATAAAGTCTCAGACGACCACAAGAGCCTCACTAATTAATCTTGCACTTGTGTGCGTGAACCCCAGATCTCTCTGTTCTTGCACTCCCATTAAACATCAACACTAAAACTTAAAGTTAAAATGCTTCCACCCTTTTTACTGTGTATTTGGTGTATCCCCGCAAGTGCAGTTTGAGGTGAAAGGAGTGCCCAATGTGATACGACCTTACATTGAAACATAGAAGATAGAAGCAGGAGAAAGCCATTCAGCCCTTCAAGCCTGCTCCTCCATTCATCACGATCATGGCTGATCGTCCAACTCATTAGCCTAATCCTGCTTTCTTCCCATAACTTTTGATCCCAAGTGCTATATCTACTTGCCTCTTGAATACAAATACTTCCTGTGGTAATGAATTCCACAGGCTCACCACTCTTTGGGTGAAGAAATGTCTCCTCATCCTTGTCCTAAATCATCTACCCCAAATCCTCATACTGTGTAACCTGGTTTTGGACACACCCACCATCGGGAACATCCTCCCTGCATCTACCCAGTCTAGTCCTGTTAGAATTTTATAAGTCTCTATGCGATTTCCCCCCTCATTTGTCTGAACTCTAGTAAAAACAATCCCAACGCAGTCAATCTCTCTTCATACGTCAGACCCGCCATTCCCAGGAATCAGCCTGGTAAACCTTTGCTCCACTCCCTCGAGAACAACAGCATCCTTCCTCAGAAAAGGAGACCAAAACTGCACACAATATTCCAGGTGTGGTCTCACCAAGGCCCTGTATATTTGCAACAATGCACCCCTGCTCCTGTACTCGAAATCTCTCGCAATGATGGTCAACATACCATTTGCTTTCTTTAGCACCTGCTGCACCTGCATGCTTACCTTCAGTGACCAGTGCACAAGGACACCCAGGTCCCACTGCACACTCCCCTCTCCCAATTTACAGCCACTCAGGTAGTAATCTGCCTTCTTGTTTTTGCTTCCAAAGTGAATAACCTCACATTTATCCAAATGATACTGCATGTGCCATTGATTTGCCCACTCACCCAGCCTGTTGAGATCATTCTGAAGGATCTCTGCATCTGCATCACAGTTCACCCTCCTACCTAATGCCGTATCATCTGCAAACCTGGCGATGTTACATTTTGTTCCCTCATCCAAATCATTAATATATATTGTGAATAGCAGGGGTCCCAGTATGGATCCCTGTGGCAACTCACTAGTTACTGCCTGCCAATTTGAAAAGATAGGAAAACAAATGCATCATGCTACATTTGGATGCTATATTCAAATTAAACTTCTGAAATTAGGGGGGAAACCACCTTATGGCAACTAGGATATTGCACACGTAGACAAAAACAGTGCAGATCTGGTTGTAAAAATATGCATATGGTTCTTTGTTGCCCAACACCCAATTCCATTCTGAGCTATGGTGACCCAGGAAAAACCCGATGGAAACATGACTGATGGAAATCAGATGACACTCTGGGCACCCCACCCACCCTGACCAGCTGTGTTGTGAAGCCTTCCCTCAAAGATCCCAAAACCCCAGTTCAAAACTCTGTGCTCCCCCTAAAATTCCAACTGTCACTCTTCCACCACAGGTCTAAAATCAATGCAGTGGTATAAAATACAACGTAACTGCACAGACCTGAAACAAAGAGAAATTGCTGAAGAAAATATGTAGATTCAAGACAGCGACTTAAGGGTGGAAAGCAAAATAGAGAGGGGTGTGAGAAAAGCACCTTAAGGGCCAGACAATTGGGGGCGCGCAAGTGGTCAGAATTAGAGGAGCACAAATATCTACAAAGGATGGCATGGATGGAGGAAGATATAGAGATAGGAAGGGGTAATCACATGGAGTAATTTTAAAAACAAAAACAAGAACAAGAACTTTAAAAATCATATTATTTGACTAGAAAATAGGAATTAACTCTGGGGATGTGCCTGACGAATTCAAAAAGCCAAAGCCGAGTTGTGAAGACAGTGGGAGACCGAGACGGAGAATTAAGGGAACGACGATGCAGGGAAGTGATGGCGATTTATAGGAAAAGGTGACCAAATGTTTCCGATAAGAAATGAGAGCAGTGGTGTGTAACTGACTATTTTAACAGTAGAATTGCGCAGTTGGTTGAATGAAAATTTGCAACAAACTTCAGTGACCTTTGGGTTCGATAGAGTTGGTTTTCTTTTAAAAATAATCCACTCATTTCTGACAAATCTTTAAAAAATTGCCAGGGAGAAGAAAAAACAGATGAGAACTTTATGATTCCTCCCAATAAAACTTGTCAGGCGAAAACTGGCGTTTCTGAACAGGAAATGAGTCACAATCTTTTTCTCTGTGTGTGTGCGTGTGCTAATATCCGCCTCGTCATTTTCACGAGTGATTGGAAGCAGCCGGTCCCCTAAGCCCGAAACAGAGAAATGATCAATTCTGTATATCGCAAGGAAACGTTGCCTCATTTCTCAGACTTAAAAAGTGTATTTTCTTTTACAGTTACGGTGCTCTGCAATTTGATCGCACGGCTGTGTTTCTGAAGGGTCAGTGAATTTGCGTCCATTATTTTACATCAGTTTTAAAATAAGTATTACAAATGTTAAACAGAGGGCTTTTAGTGGATGAATACTGAGCCTTATGTCCATCTCAACAACCACAATCTAGACAAAACAAGTAGGAGCTTAAACTGCCATACACAAGGACAATCAATTTAGTAACCAATTTAATCTATAGGAAGGGGGTCAAATAAATCTGCGAACAGTGGACAATGATAATTTAAAGGGGAAAGATGAGATTGGGATTTTCAGTCACACGGAGCAGTGGTAGGGAATGGCGAGACGTCCATCTCACTCGTGTGGAGAGATAGTAGGAACTGCCGATGCTCTACCTCACTGGTGTGATGGGTCCCATAAATATCAGTCTACGGCAGATCCATTAAATCCATTTACACTTTTGGAATTATAGGTCCATTTCATTTTGAAAAGATTTTTTTTAAAAAAAATGGTTAATAAATTAGTATTGAATATCTTTTATCTGAGATTTTAAAAAAATCCTGTTTCCTAGTGCCAAAGTTTGGTGAAATAAATTTTAAAGCCACATGTAAAATTCAATTTTTCATTCTCGTGGGCACCACTAAACGTGCAATAAATGCATACATTGAGGTACAATAATAAAGGGGAACAGTTTGTCCGATTTTTGGGAGTAAATATAATTTTAACACGTAATTTGTACATTTAATAATAACAATTCAAACTGGAATTCATTAGAAATTAGAGACATTCAAAACTATTTGATTAACGTACAAGTCTAATTATTATATTTGACTTATTTCAAATTTGGTTTGAGAAGTGTAATTTTAAAAACAACTTTTGGCAGGCATTTCCTATTTAATTACACATGGCTCTTCCCACTATATAAAAAAAAGTAAATTATCACATGATGAACAAAAAAGAAGGGGGAGCTAAACTCGATTTGGGCAGTACGTTGTATATTTATTCTAAAGATAAGACCAGACCATTTTTTTCCATATCCTCCTCCTTTTTAGCTCCCCCTCCCTACACCTTTGCCTGCGTATGTTTGAGGAAGCTTGTGGTCCATTACTGAAGGATCAATGCCTTATTTCTGATTTTGTGCAGGTTTTAAAAAATTATATATGTGCATATATAAGGAAGCCTTTTAACATAAACGCACACTTTTCAAATACGAAGGTGGAGAGATAAAAAGACAAGAAGAAAGCAAGATGGCTGCAAACTGATTTGTGTGTGTTAGATTTGGATTTAATGGTGATGAAAGCGATCAGCAGATTGGATTTTCGCCTCTTCTGAGCCTTTTTAGATTTATCTAAAGATTTGGGGAGGAGAGTCGAATCGTTTGGAGTTGACAGAAGAGGGTGGTGTTCGGCTGCGGGAAAAAAAAGCTGAAAAGGAAGAAGGTGGGGGAAGAGGAGGAAAAAATGTGCCATAAATATAAATGATTTAAAATTCTTGAGGTGGTGGAGAGGAGGGGAAAATAAAACAAGCACCCAGTTTAAAAGAGACTCACTGAAGATGGTTGTAAATGAGCGGCTTTGAAACCCAAAGAGCATTTTTTTTTTGGTTCTGCTTCTTCCCCGTAACCAACCCCTAAAAGCATTTTGCAATCAAAGAATGCCAAGACAATTGGAATTCCCCTTTTAAATCTCTTTTTGGAAGGGAGAGGGAGAGAGAGAGAGAAAGAAAGAAGCGAGAGGCTTTTTTTTTGAGCTGGATGGCCGTGAGGAAGTCAGACAGTTGAGGCTGTGAAGAAGAAAGGGACAGAGAGGGGAAGGGTCGTTTATTAAAGATTTTTTTTTTTGGGAGGATTTGGTATTTCAAATGGGGGAAAATCTTACCTGATATTCGTTGAAAAGGTCGGAAGAAGCTGAGAGTTTGGCCGTTGGCGGTGGGGGTCTTTTTTTTTGAATTTTTGAAAATAACGACTTTTTTTAATCCAAGATGGCTGAAAACTGGAAGAGCTGCTTCGAGGAGGAACTTCTGTGCCCCATCTGCCTGCAGGTCTTCGTGGAGCCGGTGCAGCTGCCGTGCAAGCACAACTTCTGCCGGGCTTGCATCGGCGAGGCCTGGGGGAAGGAGTCGGTGAGCCGCTGCCCCGAGTGCAACAACGTCTACCCGCAGAAACCGGCTCTGGAGAAGAACCTCAAGCTCAGCAACATCGTGGAGAAATTCAACTCCTTCACGGCCGATGCCGCCGCCGTGGCCGCTGCCGCCGCCGCTTCGTCGTCCTCCTCCTCCTCCGGCGGCGGAGGCAACGGCGCCAACAACAACAACACCGCCGCCGCCAACCCAGCGACCTCGTCCGCCGCCTACAGCCCGCTCTGCTGCCGCTACTGCCGCAACTCGCCCGCCCAGAAGGTCTGCCTCCGCTGCGACACCGGCTGCTGCCAGGCCCACGTCGGCGCCCACCTGCAGGCCGCCTCGGTCAGCGGCAGCCACTTGCTAATCGAGGCCGGGGATGCTCGGGCCTGGAGCTGCGCTCAGCATGACGCCTACCGGCTGCTGCACTGCGAGACGGACCAGGTAGCCGTGTGCCGCTATTGTTACTACATGGGCAGCCACCATGGCCACAGCATCTGCGACCTGGAGGTCAGGAGGAACGAGATTCGGGTAAGGACCCCCGCCACTTCGCAATAGAGCGCGTTCATCTTTATTATGTCTGTTTAATGTTACCCCCCCAACCCGGCATCCTAACCCCGCCCCCACCACCACCTTCCCCACAGCAGCCCCAACACCT